AAATTCCAAGGTCTGAGGTGAACTTCATGGGAGTATGAGAGAGTATCGGATACTGAAAAAGCCAATTAGTGAACATAAAGGCATAGCAATAGGTATTATCCACAAGAAGGTATGTACGAAAAAAAGCTTGGGAAAAATGACCAAAAGGAGAGGAGCAAGACCTGAAAGGGAAACACTTGAAGAAATAAGGACAATGTCTGCACTCGCCTTGCTCCACATGGTATTTCTAGCACAGCGCCTGGCAGACATTTAACGACCATCTACTGATCACAGATGTGACAGAACAAACGCTAACAGTGTCCTGTGTACTACTGCAGGCCATTAGGAGCACCAGAAGACAAAGGGAAACAACACGGAGAAAGCAGTCTTTCATCAGACCTGGAAAATGAGTTCAGGTGAGTATGCAAAACATTTGGAGAATCAGAGATTAAAAAGGGCCTTCTCTCCCGCACTAAGCAGAGCTGACGGAGCAAGGTCACAAGTTCAAGTCCCTCCAGCACAAGCCCATCTCCAAATAAAAAAGATAAAGGACCGGGGCTGTTGTTCGGTGTTAAGACGGCTCCCGGGTTCAGTCACCACTCAAGCATGGGTTGGTGGCACACAACTGTAATCCCAGCACACTTCGAGGCTGAGGCAAGAGGATAGCAAGTTTGAGCACCAAAGCACTGTCTCCTCTCCCCACCTGGTTATGTTTCATGCTCTCTGCACTTTCCACACCTACTCCAGATATGGGGAAGAGATCTACAAAGAGTATTTGCAGTATGTCATTCCCATACTTAGCTCTCCCCTAATCCTAGACTTTAAGAACTTAAAAGGACCGGGCACTCTACTAGGCTGGGGCAGGGGGATCACAAGTTGGAATCTAGCTGGGACAACTTGGAGAGACCTTGTCCCAGAATTTAAAAAATAAACAAGGAGGATGTAGCTCAGTGTGGAGGGCCGGAGTTCAATCCCCATCACTCACAATAATAATAATAATTTAAAGGACCTCAGTGTGGAGAACACCTTAAAATAAGATGGAATTGTATAACCCTAAGTGTGCTGTAACCATAAGTGTGCTGTAACCCTAAAGTGTGCTATGACTTTAAGAGTGCTGTGAGTGATATGTAACCATAGTAACCATAAGATATAGAAGTAGAACCTTAAGCGGTGTGGAATTGATAAGGATGCACCCCGAACTGGACAGGGCGTGGTCCCAAATGGACAGTGTGATAAGTCTGAACCAATACCACAAACGCCCAGTTAGAATAGTATAAAAGGAGCTGAAGACCTCAAGCAAGTCGACGATC